CGGCGGGACATAAGCTAACATACACTTTCTGCACATCGCATAAAACGTTCAAAAATGTCAATATGTGGGAGTAAGAGAAGAGCAGACATATGGATAAATCTGACGACGCAAGAGAGAACTCAATTCGGTCCGGTTTTCTGAGCGCAGACACTAAAGCATACGCACACAGAAAGCGCGTCTCACAGCGCGCGGGTACTCTTGCGCGTCGCATGAACGGAGAATTACACACAAAATGATGTCGAATTGTCCGTTTTGACGAGTATTCACATAAACACAGTTGACAAAATTTGCTGTCAAAATTAACACTGCATGCAACAACAAACACAGCACAAGCTAATATGTCCGATCTGGGAACAAATGACTGTTATGAACAGGATCTTTTTAATGAGTCAATTAAAAGATTCACTCATTCTGTGTCTGTGAATTATACTGTGTCATTACTGAGTTTGTAACTGATTCCTCATTGAACAGATTCAAAATGAACCAGGAATTGTTATTTATGACTAAAGAAACATACGCTCCCATTCAAAAGTTTGTGGAGTCAAAATTTTTATGTACTTTTTTCCCATGTATTTTCACCAAGGCACATTGAATTGATCAAAAGTGGCAGTAACAACTCTTACATTCTTAGAAAATATTTCAAATAATTGTTTTTAGTTTGAGCTTTCTATTCATTAAAGAATCTTGGAAAATATTATTGTGGAAACAATACATTTTAAGCACCACAGCTGTTAACTTTGATAATAAACACCAAATTATTATTTGGTGTATTAAACAGCATATTCAAATAAAATAAAATAATAGAATAAAATAATCTTGTGACACTGTATACTGGAGTAATAGTCTTTAAAATCATTAAAATAAAACAGTATTACTGTTTGTACTGTTTGCTGTTAACATGACAAATGTCAACTTGCTAGAAGAAACCTTTAGACGGAGCTTATGCCTAAAATCAGATGAAGATGACAAAGATTTTATATTCAGCTGCTGGGTATTGTCATCTGTCCTGCCTGAAGCAAAGAAATTGGTTATTTTCTGGTTAACTTATTAAATACTGCTTATTGCATACTGCACAGTATATACTCTGAACTTCCTACACAATATGTGAAACATTATGGTCTACTAAAGGATATACACTATCGTTTAAAAGTTTGGAGTTGGTAAGATTTTTAAAATGTTTTTGAAAGGAGTCTCTTATGCTCACCAATACTGCATTTATTTGATCAAAAATACAGTAAAAAAAAAAATAACACATTAATATTAATGTAATTTATTCCTGTGATGGCAAAGGTAAATTTTCAGCATCATTACTCCGGTCTTCAGTGTCACATGATCCTTCAGAAATCATTCTAATATGCTGATTTGGTGCTCAAAAAACATTTCTTCTTATATCAGTGTTGAAAAAGTTGTGCTTCTTAATATGTTTGTTGAAACTATGGTACTTTTATTTTTTCAGTTCTCTTTCATGAATAGAACGTTGAACAGAAAAACATATATCTGAAATAGAATTGTTTTGTATCAAATGTAAAAATGTTTGATCACTTTTTAACAGTAATAGATGTTTCAAAAAGTAGCATAATACAGTGTTTTCACAAAACCTGTTGATGTAGATGTGATGAATTGTGTCTATTGCATATAGAAATCTATTCATTTCTTTGCAATTAAATTGTTATTTTGAATTTGGAATCCAAATTTGTGTAAAAATGATTCAACTATTCAAGTTTACTTCGATCAATTAATGAGTCAATAGGGGGTGTTAAAAACCACTTGATTTTGCTTCTGGCTTTATTCCATTATTTTAAAATGAAAGGATGAGTCAAGCGCATGGCATTATGGGATACAGTTCACACAGTGTGTTCTAGTTATACAGCTCTCATTTTAGCAAGTCATCTGGGACTTTGTTACATTCGCATACTGCGCACAGTATACTGTACATACTGCATACTATAAAAATAATAATAGCCATCTGTGTCCTGCAGGCATCCTCTTTTTCCTCTTCTGGCGTTGCTGTTTGAGAAGTGTGAACAAGCCACGCAGGGATCAGAATGCATCACCTCTGCCAGCTTTGACGTCGACATCGAGAACTTCGTCCACCAGCAAGAACAGGACCACAAGCCTTTCTTCAGCGAGGACCCTGAACTAGACAACCTGGTAAGCGCTCATTAGGTTTTGTATCACCTGCCGTTCTTCTAATTTCAGCTCTTAAAAACCTGTTTACTTCCTTTTATATCGAAATCTCACATCTGCACTGCCCTCTGCTGGCATATTTGCACTTTATACGTCTTTTGAGGTACTTTAATTATTAAACAGCCTAGAAATATGACATTAAGTAACATTTTATTGCAAATAAAAAGTCAGTAGTATTAGTCACAATGACACTCGGCCACCTCTTGTCCATAGCCTTTTTTTCCCTCTATTGTTCTCGTTTCCTTTAACTCTCCTCATATTCATCATCTCTCCTCTTCTGTGCCCTGCAAGACAGTTAACAGTAATTAGAAATTAAGGGAAGGAGGAGGAAAAAGGTCACTGTTCATCATTACCGGGGCGCTCGGCCGACTAGCGCTGCTCAGTCAATTAACTCTGCATCTGTGTGCTTTACGACACACTGGTCACACACGGGTCTTCCGTTCACTAACTCTTCACCGCGACAGTTATAGCGCCCGCGCGGCGCTTCCTTCTCGCCTCAGAGAGATGGCACTGAGCCCTGATTAAACGAGCTGCAGTAATTGGCAGATTTATCTCCTCCTTGGCAAAGCATTTTTTAGCCCATTTGGTCGTCCTTGAGTTCTGACTTTGGGCAGTGACTGTTTGAATGGGTAGCTGGAACAGAAAGTTCAGTCACATCCAACTGTATCAGCAGAACTCAAAAGTGTTTGTAGCATTAAACAACGCAACCAGGCAAATAGTGGCAGGGAAGGCTGGCTAGGTAACCTCAAATAATTGTTGGAAAGAAAGTGAGAAAAACACTTATGCTTTTCTTTTGAGTAAAGTGATTGTAGTTTATTTAAAGGAATAATTCACTTACAAATGATTTTTTAAATTAATATTATTATTTACTCACACTAATGTAGTTTCAGATCCATATAATATTCTTTCTTCCATGATTTGAGTTATTTTCCAGGCTGTTTTTCCAATGTCCTGGCTGCTCTTTTCATACAATTAATGATAAAAAAGCATCATGAAAATATAATAAAAGGTTCACAATATATTATATAGGTCTTCAAAATTCATATTATAGTTTAGTGTGAGGAACTGATGAAATAAATAAATAAATAAATACATTTAAAGTGATGTCTTTAAAAACAATGACATTTATTTATTTATAGATTTATCTCCTCCTTGGCAAAGCATTTTTTAGCCCATTTGGTCGTCCTTGAGTTCTGACTTTGGGCAGTGACTGTTTGAATGGGTAGCTGGAACAGAAAGTTCAGTCACATCCAACTGTATCAGCAGAACTCAAAAGTGTTTGTAGCATTAAACAACGCAACCAGGCAAATAGTGGCAGGGAAGGCTGGCTAGGTAACCTCAAATAATTGTTGGAAAGAAAGTGAGAAAAACACTTATGCTTTTCTTTTGAGTAAAGTGATTGTAGTTTATTTAAAGGAATAATTCACTTACAAATGATTTTTTAAATTAATATTATTATTTACTCACACTAATGTAGTTTCAGATCCATATAATATTCTTTCTTCCATGATTTGAGTTATTTTCCAGGCTGTTTTTCCAATGTCCTGGCTGCTCTTTTCATACAATTAATGATAAAAAAGCATCATGAAAATATAATAAAAGGTTCACAATATATTATATAGGTCTTCAAAATTCATATTATAGTTTAGTGTGAGGAACTGATGAAATAAATAAATAAATAAATAAATACATTTAAAGTGATGTCTTTAAAAACAATGACATTTATTTATTTATTTACAGTGCCTTGCGAAAGTATTCATTTTTTTCACGTTTGTTATGTTGCTGCCTTGTGTTAACCTGCTTTAAATTACTTTTTCCCACATCAATCTACACTCCATGCACCATAATGGTAAAGCAAGAAACAGGTTTATTTATTAAATCTAAAAAAAGCAAATTTATTAAAAATAAAAAAACAAAAATGATTCGATTGCATAAATATTAAATTTAGCTCATGAGCATTCGTATTGCTTGTAGATGTTACTACACTTCGAGTGAAGTTAACCTGTGGCAAATTCAATTGAATGGGTATGATTTGGAAAGGCACACACGTCTTAATAAAAGGTCTAACAGCTGATAATGCATATCAGAGCAAAAGAACTGTCTGTAGAGCTCAGAAACAGGTTTGCGTAAAGCCACACATCTGTGGAAGAGTTCAGAAAAAAAATTCTGCTTCATTGAAGGGTCACAGAAGCATGTAGTCTCTGTTACCCTTAATGGAAGAAGTTTGAAACAACCAGGACTCTTCCTAGAGCTGGCCTCCTGGCCAAACTGAGCAACTGATGGAGAAGGGCTTTGGTTAGCATGGTGACCAAGAACCTGATGGTCACTCTAGTTGAGCTCCATGATCATATGTGGAGAT